TTTTTTTTTAACTTTAAAAAGGCAGGTACATGAAAAAAAAAGGCTATGTGGCACACTATCTAGACCAAATTCTATATGAAGATTCCTGTAAAGTGCCTTTTAATCCCCTGCAAATATTTAATTTTTTTGGTAAACTAAATACATTTTATCAGCTCTATCTAATACATATTAGTAAATTTACTGTGATAAAGTATTACTGTAGGTGGAAAATTTAGCAAAGTAAAAATAAGATAAATACATTTAATAGAAAGATTCTAGCTAATCAGAATGTTTAATACTTGGAACTTGAATCTTGTAGAGGGGTGCATTATCTAAGAAGAAATTGATTTCTCAGCAAACAAAACTAATTTTTCAGGTGGAAAATCAACAAACTGGGAAGGAGGTATTCGTGTGCCAGGCCTTCTCCGTTGGCCTGGAGTGATACAGGCTGGTGCCTATATTGATGAGCCAACAAGTAATATGGATATATTTCCTACCATAGTCAAACTTGCGGAGGCACAGTTACCCTCTGACAGGTATGCTCTGTAGTCATCTCTGTTTTAGAGAAAGTGTCATGACTGTTTTTTGCATTCTGGTGATGTCTATTAAGATAGAAGTGAGAATGTAAGTAAGAAACTAGGTTTTATCCTTACAATAGTATGTTGTCTGTTTTCATATTGACATACTGATATATTTTACAGAACCGTTGTATGTAAATACAGCTTAACTTGCAGAACAAGCACCAAGCACCAAAAAGATAAGAGAAACTATCAGAGCAGCATACTGTCAAATCAAACCTGGAATTATTTACTAAAAGCAAAAATGAATGTATCAAAAAGGTTCTATTCTACATGAGTGAATGTGGTAGAAAAAGGAACTGCAAGTGTAAATTACTTAAAAATTCATGGCCAGTTAGGCTTTTCTCACAGGTGTTTGTTGGGTTGGTTTTGGTTTTTGTGGGATTTGTTTTTTTTTCCCTTTGTCAAGTTAGTGAAAATAATCCCTTACATAGCTTTGCAGCCTGATAAGAAAACTCGCTGGACTTCTGAAATTCATAAGATACCTTACTGACATTGCTACATCCCCAGGCTTTGTCTTGTTTGGGAGAAACCCAGTCTCAGCAGCAAGGTGCCTCCACTTAAGTGCTGTTGCCCTCCAAATCCAGTATGCAGAGAAACCTGCTGATAAACATATCCTTTGACATCTTCAACACACAAACAGCTTTTGAGCACAAAGCATTGAGAATGCTCATGGGAAAGCCCAGTGGTGAGCAGAGTCACTCTACTAATGATGATTCATTGAGTGCTTGAAGGAAATGGCAGGGCAGGACAAGTGTAAGACATGAAAAATTAGTCAGATTGATCCTGAGAAATGCCCTACAAGCAGTAACTGTCAAACCTCAGTAGTTAGAATGTTTTTAATGTGGCAGATATTATGCAGTTTGTTTTCATATTGCTTGAGTGGAGACTAAGTACTGATGTTTTCTCTGATCTCCTTGATAGAAATCCCAATATACTTGTGTAACTTCCACTTGTAGGTTGCTCCACTCTGATTCTTCAGTATAGACTAGATGCTTTAAGTACTACTTCATGTTAGGTCATGGACTATCTTGAAGCATTTTCCATCCAGCAGCTAAATTGTTATTACTCCACTGAATTCTTCCTCAGAAGTAAGAAAAATTTATACAATTAGGATTCAGTCACTGTGAGGGAGCAGTTAAAAAGAAAAGGAGGAGGTGCTCCTAGTTAAAGAGAAATTAGTCATCAGAAAGAATCATATATTCCTCTGAAACCAGCAGCTCTAGGAATGCAAAAGTACTGGCGACATATTAGTGGAGATGCCCTTTTCCCTATCAACAGGCTCTAAAATAGAAAGCGTACAATATGAATGCATCTCTCCTCTCAGCTTGTTAATGAGCAAGCCTACAGAGGCAAGACAAGATCCTGTCACTCAGGCAAGAAAATATCACAAATTAAAAGTGGGAAAGACTCTGATTCAACAGACCCCCACAGACAGGGATGTATCCAGAAGGCCGAGTTATCAGATAACATAGCTTTAGGAATTCCAGGGTGTTTTCTTGGCTATCATTTGAGAAAAGTGCTACTCATAATGGCTCTATTGCATACAATTGCTGCCATGAATTTAATCATCATATGTAGCTTATGACTTAAAAAAGTGAAGTTAGTACCTGTCTTGTAGTAGTTACACGAACATGAAAAAGGTTTTACATGGTAATGAAAATTACCGTAGGCATTTTTAAAATTTTTATAAGTTTCAAAAAAGTTTTTATGAGATGTCGCTCAAAATGTTTAAGAAAGAATTACTTGCTGATCTGTATATCAGCAAAAAGTAATTTCCTATTAAACTTATTGTAAAATTTGTAATTCATATCAGGTCAAAAAGGCAGATTGTGATTTCTCCTCTTCCAGCTGATTCCAGCAATTCAAAGGCTTAATTTATGGAAACATTTAAAAGCCTTGCTTATTTTATAACTCAATTTTTATGTAAATTGACTGACTCCTTCAGCGCATGATCAGAATTGTTCAGAAACATTGAAAGACTTTATATACATATATATATACGCGCATGTGTCTGTCTATCTGTCTGTAGTTGATAAATACATATTTAAACATAGTTGATTTTCAAATTTGAAATGACCGCTTTTGTCTTAAATTCAGGCATACTTAATATGCTGGACAGAGTTCTTACCATTATTTCAGGGGATGCTAACAGAGCACAGCATATATTTCTGTAATTTAGTTTTAGGATTACTTTGGCCAGACTACTTCCAAACACTTGAGCAGGTTTACGTGAAAGACTGTGTTGTAGCAATTTATTCACATTTTTCTGATCACTTTCTCATTAAAAAAAAAAAAAATTGAGAAAACAACCATTCATAATGACAAAATGTAAAATTAATGTTTACTTAAATAATATAAAAATCAAAGGGAAGAGCACTTGAACATGTTTCTCTGAATTGATCAGCTGGAGGTAGCCATTCGGATTTGGGGGTTTTTAGTAGCAGATGTGCAGAGTTATAATACCTTCTCAGTAAAGTGAGGTTTGAGTTATTCTTCTGATTTTGAAATGCTTTCTTCTTCAGAATTATTGATGGACATGATCTGCTGCCCTTACTTCAAGGAAAAGTTACTCGATCTAAGCATGAATTTCTCTTCCATTACTGTAATGCATATTTAAATGCAGTGCGCTGGCATCCAGGAAACAGTAAGTAAACTTGCCTGTTCACATTTTAAATATTTAATATAATTTTTATTACCCCTTGAGAAGAATCAAGAGGAAGCCTTGGGCTATAGTAACAAAAAATTGTTTAAAATATCTAGCCTTTTTCCTTCTCTTTCACTTTTCTCTTTGCTAGAATGTGCCTATTCACCATTTCACTGTTTAGTATTAGTTTGTTGCTATGCATTAATGTTACATATCAATGAAACACTGAGATCTGTGGTATCTGGAAACTTCTTTTTTTTTAAACCTTCCTGAGAGAGTCTATGTTACAGAATGAAGTAGTCAAGGTTAACTCTTACCTTGTTCTAAAAAATGTACAGGTAATGGAATGGTTTGCTGAATAACAGCAAAAGAATGATGTCAGTCTGGCCATTTCTATTATTCTGATAGCAAAGTCTAAAAGAATCACTGAGTCAGTCATAATTATCCAATAAATGAATATAGTATTATAAGGTCATTTTTCATGTTTTTTTATGAACGACATAATTCTATTTTGTAGACCAAGGAAAAAAGCATTTCTCACTGTTTTGCTCCTTTTTCACTAATAGCTCACTGTTTCTAGTAGCACCTTCCACACTAACCAAAGCATATTTCCTTTTCTATAAAAATCTCTGTACTGAGTGAAGTTAAACACACATTTTTTCCATCTCAGTTGACACTTAAAGTGACGACTTGTGTTACAACTTGAAAATGATGATCCAAGACAAGGTTTGGCATCAGGTTTCTTATTTAAGTAGTTCGGGAAAGGATTTGTTTAATAGTTAATGTGCAAACTTGAAGTGAGTTGGAAACATTGCCTTCTTGGTCATGTAGACTGACTCCCTACCTGGACTTAAAACTAGGAAAAGGGAAAATATCACATATAATGTTTATTTACTACTACTTTGCCTGTAAGTCTTGCATTTGATAAATAATCATAAGGAAGAACCAAGCAATCGAGATGTAGTACTATTTTGTACCTGATATTGGATGAAATTATTCTGAGTCGTTATGAGAGAAGTAGACAGAGCTTCAGGCAGGCAGAGAGGCATTTTTTCTCAAACATACACCTTTGCAAGATGACCTATCCCTCATCTGAGGAAAGGGTCAGCTTTATTATTCACTGAAG